CCCGCCCCCCCCGCCGCTGAGGGGCCGGGGAGCCCCGCCGTCCCCTGGCGATAAGGCGGGGGCCTCGCTCCCCGTTTCCCTCCGCAGCTCCGGTGGGTTCCCCTTCCCTCTTTCCCTCCCTCCCTCTCTCCCTCGCTGCCCGGGCCCGGCGGGGAGGGCTCCGCGCCGCCCGGCGCCCTGAGGCGGCGGGGAGGGACATGGCCCCTGAGGGCCGGGCCGGCGGGGGGCTGCTCTGTGGGGGACCCCTCGGGGGCCGATGATCTCTTCCCTCCCCCGCGCTCACTTCATCCTCCAGCGCCTTGTTCTCCGCGTTAGCCACGGGGACGGCGTAGCCATCGTCCCAGCGGAGCTCGGCCAGCACGGAGGCGGCGGAGCGGCTGTCCATGGCGAAGGGGAAGGGCGGCCGGGCCGGGGCGGGCCGGGCCTGGCGTCGCCGGGTCTCTTAGCAACGGCGTTGCCCGGCGGCCACCGAGCGAACGGGAAACCGCTGAGGCGGCAGCCGCCTCCCGCCCGCCCCGGGCCCGCCCTGCTCGGCCCGCCCCGCTCGGCCCGCCCCGGCCGTTGGGTGTGAGGGGGGGGCGCGCCGGGTGCGGGGCGCTGTGGTGGAAGCCGTCCCCTCAGGCGGTTAGCAGGGCTGCTGTTGGCGGGGATACTCAGAGGAATCACAGAATCTTAGTGGTTGGAAGGGACCTCCGAGATCATCGAGTCCAACCACAAAAAACAAAACAAAACAAAACAACCAACCACCACAAAAACAACAAACCCAAAACCACCACCCACCAACTAAACCCCACACCCACAACCCCACATAGTACACCCCACCACAAACCTATAATCTTGGGTACTAGGGCATGCCCTGAAGAGCCACGTCTACACGTTTCTTAAATCCCTCCAGGGATGGTGACTCCACCATCTCCCTGGGCAGGCTGTTCCAGTGCCTGACCACCCTTTCAGTAGAGTAATTCTTCCTAATATCTAATCTGAATCTCCCCTGTTGCATCTTCATACCATTACCTCTGGTCCTGTCATCATTCCCTTGGGAGAAGAGGCCAACCCCCGCCTCTCTACATTCTCCTTTCAGGTAGTTGTAGAGGGCAATGAGGTCTCCCCTCAGCCTCCTCTTCTCCAAGCTAAACATGCCCAGTTCCTTCAGCCTCTCCTCATAGGACTTGTTCTCCAGACCCCTCCCCAGCTTGGTGCCGGTGACACCTGAGGGCAGCTCGCTCTGAGGGTGCAGGGTGTCTGTTTCTGAACAGGCCTCGGGGTTATCCCCCAGCGACATACAGGTGGGTTTTCCAGCCCAGAGATTGCCTTCAAGCGGCCACAAACACTGATGCCGTTTCCTTTATAAACACAGCTGTTGTGTTTGAGCCCCTCTGTGCTTCTTTGGGGTGCAAACCACCCTGTGCCATTGAGTTCCATCGTTCGTAGGTGGAGAAAGGCCCGCTGGTCCCATTGCCCTCTGCAACTCCCTGAAAACAGGTTGTAGAGAGGTGGGGATTGGCCTCTTCTCCCAAAGGAATGATGACAGGACCAGAGGAAATGGTCTGAAGTTGGGGCAGGGGAGGTTTAGATTAGATATTGGGAAGAATTACTTTACTGAGGGGGTGGTCAGGCACTGGAACAGCCTGCCCAGGGAGGCGGTGGAGTCACCATCCCTGGAGGTATTTAAGAAACGTGTAGACATGGCACTGCAGGGCATGCTCTAGTGCCTGAGATTGTTGGGTTGTGTCTGTTTGTGGGTTTGTGGTGGGGTTTTTTTGGTTGGTTGTTTTTGTTTGGTTGGGTTTTTTTGTGGTTGGACTCGATGATCTCAAAGGTCCCTTCCAACCATGAAAATTCTGTGATTCTATCTTGGCAGGAAGCATAGTCTTGCTGCAGAAACCTTTTGGTGTGACTGTTTGGCTGAAATATCTGAGCAGTGAAGTTTCTGCACCAGCACAAAGCCTACTGTGACAAAGGAGAAGGGAGGAGGTGAGGAAGAAATACCTGCCTTGCAGGGGTTTGAAATTAACATCTGTGTTAACACAGATTTGAAATTAACATCTGTGGCATTGCAGTGCCGAGCACCTGGCAATAGTGTTTTCCAAACAGAGCTTGTGAGTTCAATAACACAGGAGACCACATAGTGCAGGATAACTAGCAAATTATTGGGTAGTTGTTTGTTATTAGGTGAACAGTCAGTCCCAGTCACTAAGCAGGACAGGCATCCAGGGAAAAAATGGTAATTTGTAATCATGTACCATAAGACATACATCTGGGAAACCAAATTAAATCAACCTTGTTGCAGTTACTTAAAACATCTACTGAACTTTTGAATTTTTGTAATCCTAAGTGTTCTGTTCATATGTTTTTGTAACTGCAGTATTTCTACATAGTGTCTGGAAAGTATGAAGTGTTGTAGAAGTACAGGCTATCATTTCACCGTTTTCATGGAAATTCCACACCCATTGGTTTCTCTTGCCTGGTCCTGACTAAACAAATCGCCAAGATCTGCTTTTGTTTTTGTGGCTTTTCCCTTCTTCTGCCTGTGGCAACATATTCTGTAAGTGCATGAATGTTTGACAGACCTGCTAATCCAGCAGATGGTGCTGCATGTCTGTGTATTTCAGGGGGGTGGTTTTGTTGTTTTCTTTTTTTAACAACAGTTATTGATGTTCAGTTAAAAGGGAAAATACAATTTCTATTCTTAAATACAAATATATACGCACAGAGAAGATGGGTTTTTTTCTACATTATGTGTGTTATTTTTAAAGCTCTTAGAGAAACAAAAGCAATTGTAACATGACAAACTATTTCCCCTGTTAACATTCCTTTTGGATTGAATTTTCAATTATGTAGACCACTGTGCCCATTTGTTCAAGTTACATAAATGTAAAACTGCTGTTTCTGGCCTTTAAAGGACTTATAGCTCTCCTTGTGCCTGCTAAAAAGCAATAATGTAAAAATTAGGTTTTTGTTTGTTTATGCCCAAGATCCCTAAGTGGTTATCATCTCTGTGAAAATACAGATTTTAATTATGATTTGGTTTCTAGCAAGTGATCTAAAATAGAGGAAAACATTTTTTCTGACTGTACATCTAAGCCACCTACTGGAAAAAAAGACTAATTTAAAGGGTTACTGGATTATTTATAACTAAACCAATGAAGCCAGATAGTGTCATTTAATCACTATTTAGAATAAATTTCACATGTGAACCTCTTCCTCTGTAAGTGGCAGGGTGTTTTGTAACGGGACGCGTTATATCTTTTCTTTCAGATGGGTGTGCTAAGACAGCCAGCACGATGGGAGAGCCAAAACCAGGAGGAGAGATTGAGGGGACTGCACAAGTCAGTGTGAGATCAGCACACACGGGAAGTTTGAAGGTTGGAGAACCTGGAATGAGAATGAGAATCATAGAAGCATAGAATGGTTAGAGCTGGAAGTGACCTTAAAGACCATCTAGTTCCAACCCCCATCCATGGGCAGGGAAACCTACCCCCAGACCAAGTTGTAAATTTCACATGTGAACCTCTTCCTCTGTAAGTGGCAGGGTGTTTTGTAACGGGACACGTTATATCTTTTCTTTCAGATGGGTGTGCTAAGACAGCCAGCACGATGGGAGAGCCAAAACCAGGAGGAGAGATTGAGGGGACTGCACAAGTCAGTGTGAGATCAGCACACACGGGAAGTTTGAAGGTTGGAGAACCTGGAATGAGAATGAGAATCATAGAAGCATAGAATGGTTAGAGCTGGAAGTGACCTTAAAGACCATCTAGTTCCAACCCCCATCCATGGACAGGGACACCTATCCCCCAGACCAGGTTATTCTACTGAAACCTGGATCTCCTGGCTCAGGTAGGAGAAACACAGTTGCATAAAAATGAAAATTGCTCTCAATCCGGGTCTCTGTGTTATCAGTTCCATACAGACCATTGCTAACCTGTGAATGATATCAATTGACACCAGGTTTAATGCATCGATTTTAGGAAAAAAAATGAAAAGACAAACATAAGCCAAAAATCAAACACCTCTGAAGTTTGAGGAAGTTTAAATTTGCCACCAGTAGATTCTCTTTGGCCCGTTCTATATTTTTTTCTTTTTTTTGCATAGTTGTGCTGGTGAAGGCTGTGACTTTTGCTGGTACGTTGCTGTGGGCATGGCCTTTTGTGCGGTGGATATGGGTGCAGAAGGGGGGAAAAAAACCCATCTTTTTTTTTTTTTTTTTTTTTGAATATTCACTTGAAAACTTCTGATAAGCCATCCCAACAGAGGGTAATTTATTTCACTTGTACAGCCCGTGTTTTTGCTTTGGGGCTGCTGGAGTAGCTGTGACTATGTGTCCTTTGGAGCATAGACAAAAGCTTGGTTTATGTCTGTGGCGAAGGGTCATTTGAGCAGCAGCCGACAGAGGGCGCTGCAGCCAGCAGCCGGGCCGGTGCCCAGTGGGTTGGGACGTACGTTTTCAAAACACTGCTCAGAAAATGTTCATGTAAAACCATTACTACGTTTTATTTAATAACCTCCTAACCCCCTCTCTCTCTCCTCCTCCTCCCCTGTGTTCCTCTAATGCCTTTTACAGCTCTTGCTGCACAGCGTGAAGCCTTAGAGCTGTATTCATCAATGACTCACACCCTTGCTTAGGGGCCAATTTTCATGGAAGCTATACAGGAAAATCTTGAAATGCACCTATCTCATGCAGGGCACAAGATGATTTCTCTATTCATTACTATTCCAAAAGGACTTGTTGCCCTTTGGAAATGTTCAGATATTACTTACATTTGGGTGTGCATGCATATGTGTGCAGAGCTAACTTGCCTTTAGGTTTGAGTGTTCTAAAAATAAAAATGTATTGTTATTATCATTGACACTAGTCAGCTGAAAGGTAACTAAGGCCCTGCTTACATGGGGTGGAAGCAGGTAAATGCAAAAGAAAAAGCAGCACCGAGCTTTAGATGAGCAAATCCTACAGACTGGAGCACAAAACTTGTTAAAAATCACCCTCTTGTTTGATGCTACGATTAGTGGTCTTCTGAGGAATTGGGAGTGAAGCCAAGGACTTGCTCTGAGAAACCAAACTGCACTTGTGCCTCTACAAGTTATTCCTGGAGGTCAAGGTTATAGTATGTGTCTAACACCCTGAAAGAAAACATGTTTCCCTTAAGACATCATGTGTTAATGCAAGCTTTTGCAGTTGTGGGGGAGAGGGAGATAAAATCATAGAAATTATTAGCCAAAATGACTTCTCTGTTTAAATCCATCTGACAGGGAGGGAGTCTTTACTGCAAAATTTCCAGTCATAGAATAATTACTTTCTGAGGGGTTGTTAATTATAACCAAAATTACTTTAAACAGTTTTGGGGAAGAGACCGAGACCTACTGTTTAGCTCAAAGCAGTTTTATTTACTCGTGTACAAAGTACCTTCTGTCCCTACAGGATTA